CCAACTCACCTACAAAGTGCATGACTACCACCTAAAATTTACTTTTTCTAAGTCTTATCTTAAAAAATGCATTTCTACTCATTACATGAATGACCATTTTTTCATTCTCCTATTCGATTTCTTCTTTCCTATCTGAGCAAACGAGTCCTCTGCTTCACATTGCACTGAAACATAAGTACTGTTTGTTCTTCAAGCGGTGTCCGCACATTCGGACAACGACTGAAGAAAACAATAACTCTTTTGTAACTGGTAATCTTACCTGTCTTTCAGACTGCTACCAGCGTTATGCTAGAAAGCTTTGGAAGGGTTGATAACTGCAGGACAAGGGGAAATGGTTTGAAGGTGAGGGAGGGCAGATTTAGGTTGGATGTCAGGGGGAAGTTCTTTACAGAGAGAGTGGTGAGGTGCTGGAACAGCTGCCCAGAGAGGCTGTGGATGCCCCGTCCATCCCTGGAGGTGTTCAAGGCCGAAGAAAACTATACCGCAATTGTGCAAGCCATATTGAAATAAATGAATAGGTACAAACAGCCTCTCTCTCTTTTCAGTGGAAAGATACAGGTACTAGTTCTCTTAGTTAAGTTCACTTGCCATCTTGCAACAATCTTAAGCATCTGTCATTTTAAGAGGAATTAGATAAATTAAGGAAAATTAAGTTCTCCAGATGCATTAGTTGTCAAAAGCTCAGTTGGTTTGGCTACTGTGTAAGTTAAAACACTGATTTCTCCTTCTAAGCAGTTCTAATAGATGAGATCTGAGGCACAGCCTGGATTTAAAAGTTCAAATGAAACAAACATGCATTCATCAAATTTCAAAAAAGTTGATATGGATATGCATTTAACAACTAGTTGCACAAATCTAACACTGTTATATTATACAAAACCGCAACTACCAGAATAAGGTGCTTCTTAGCATAATCAACAAGAAGTGGTCTGATACCACGCAGGTATTGCTCCAATACACAAGATCCAAGCCATGAGGAAAGAAGGCACAACACAATAAATCACAAAGCTTTAAACAAGAATCATCTAATGGGCACAAGCGATATCTTTAGATGATTGGGAATTGGGAATAAAAGTTAACCCCAGTAATTGCTGGAATTTTTCCATGGCAGAAACACTTGCTTTAAGATACAGTTTCCTGAGCACCACAGTGAACTGCAGAAAGAACAACCAACCAGCACAGAGAAGTTATCTCAGCAACAGGAAGACATTCTGACTCTTCCCTGTCTTGTGGTAGAATTCTTAATTGAGAATTAAGTAGCCCTCTGGCATGTCACAATTTTCACATAATCCATACTGCAAGTAATCTCAGTTGTTTTCACAGTTGTAACTGTGAACTGTAGAAATAAATAGGAAAAGCAAATCTAGGTGTACACAGGATATCAATGCATTTTAGTCAAAAATGGAAGTTGGTATTTGTACCAACAGCCTCTTGAAAGTTGTAAGATAAAAACATGGAGAGGTGTTATTTTTCCTCACAGTGCTTACCATCACTGCTGATTAAGGAAACACAAAGATTACTTTGCCTCTTTATGCTATTTGAGAAAGAATTCAATACACAAATCACAGCACAGAGCTTCAGGAACAGAGCAGCAGATGTAGATTCAGAGAGGAAAAAACATACGCAGAGTTCTCTGATGTTGCCATTCTTGTGATTCCTACAGAATTCCTGTTAAGATTCAGAATCACAGAATATCCAGAGTTGGATCACTGAGTCCAACACCTGTCTCGACACAGCACCACCCAAAATTCAACCCTATGCCTCACACCTTTTTTTTTTTCTTCCAGTTTGTAACTAGGATAATATTACTGAAAATATCTACTTTAAGGAGTACCTACTTCAAGAAAATACGTTTTTTTGGAGCTTTTTTCAGAAAGATGCATGTTATAGCTGACAGTATTTTAACATTTAAAAAGAAATTTGATTTCCTCAAGGTGCTTTTTTTGCAGCATGATTTACGTGGTTTTTATTTTACTATTCACTAACTTGTCAGCAGATCTTTCTCTTGTGTTTGCTTTCACTTACGCTCACATAAACTTAACAACGTATGGCGCTTGCTCAGAACTTGTCTTTTGCTACTCATTTAATATAGGTATCATTCATAAATTCATATTCTTATGTGAATGGTGAAGATGAGATTCAAGCTTCCACAGATTTTAGTGCATACAAAATACCCTCAACTCTTGGTTTCTGTCACACACCAGGCCTGTTTCCAGCAAGCCTTTTGTAACTGAAAGCTCACCTGAGTCCAATACGTTTATACACCCAAAGAACTTTCTTCAGGTAGAAAGAAGGAGCCAAGATTTTTACCAGCTGTACCCAAACAACATAACTGCAGCCAAGTTTTATCTCAGAGACAACTCAAGAGTGTCCACAATTCCCTGAAGTACTTAATTAGCTGTGGTGCTCTACCAGTACTTCTTGTCTTGCTACACAATGTTCTGGCAAGATAAGAATTTATCAAATTGGCCCCATCTCTAAAAAAATGGTTGTTCCTAAAGTCTGTTCAGCTAACATGGCTACATCACGGTCACAGCTGCAAAATGACAGTAACTCCAAAGTGGCTACAGCTTACTGGAAATTCTAAATACATCTTATGCAAGTGAAATACTGACCATGCAACCACAAAAAAAAAAAAGAAAAAAAAAAGACAGGACAAGAGCCACAAAAACACCGAAGGCAGATAGATTCAAACACTGCAACTGAAGTCTTTCATCAAACACACACCTCCTTTACATCAATGGCATTTCAAACCACGGCAAGCCTACCTTCAGCAACCCACAATTATCACAACTACAGGACAAATTTAGAAGCAGAGACAAAGCTAAATGGCTTGATGAATGTTTTAGGTGCCACGCTGAACCAAAACTTTTAATACCACAATGCACCCTTTGAGCCAGTGTTACAGCACGCTATCAATATCATCCATTTCAATCAACGGATCTTAGAGATGTGTGGAATACAGAGTAAGAATATAGGCTGAGGATATGGAATACTGGCTCAAAGACTACGGCATCTCAGAAAAATGAATACTTTCAAGGAAAGAGGATTTGTGAAGGCAGAGCAAAAGACGAGAGAAAAGACGAAGCAAAAGTGATAAAAAACACAACAGAACTGAAATTGTAGCAGAAACCAGAGGAGACCAAAAGACTTGTAACAACAGATTTTTTTTCTTCCTCAAGCAGTGCATCCTCCCCCTGTTTGAATTTATAATTAAAATGGCAAATGCTCATTATTTGAGTGTATATACACACATACACACACACAGAGATGTAATAGATATATATACACAGACACATAAATCACATACACTCAGCATGGTTAACATGATCCACCTTCTACCTGGATTACATTTCCAGAGGGAATGCAGGCCAAACAGAACCAACCTCCTTGTCCTGCCCAGCTCAGAACCTGAGGCTGCTGCCCTGTTCTAAGAGAGAGGCACACTGTCACATGCATACCCAGGCTGGCTGCTAGGCTTGGAGGAACAAGAAAAATGGTAAAGAGGGAAGCATCCCTGCAGAGTTAAGCCTCTATTTGTGTCCAAAGACTGAAGGGGATGAGGAAAAGGAACACAGCTAAATATTTCAAGTAAGAACACGTGCGTGAATGCAGCATAATGGTGAAAGATACTGCTCCCCACTTCTGTAGAACACAGCAGAAGATTGAGCTGTGGCTGTCACCATCACAGAACACTGAAGGGAACTCCATAAAGAATCCAGTACTCATGCCCACAATGGTTTGCCCTAAGCAATGCAACAGAACAAGCATACAGAATTATGTATATTTGCTATACTAACAAACCAAGGGTAACTTCAGGCTTTTATTGGCTGTGCTTACTGCCAAGCTGTCAGTAAATCCATCATGCAATTTTCAACAGTCAGTATTAACACTGAAACACAGCCAGTGCAAGGGACACGGTAAGACTGAAAAACATTATGAGCAAAAGAGCAAATTGTACAATCTATTCATTTTTCTCTTAATTGTGTTTTACGGCCACATTCTATAATGAGCCATATGACAGAAATCAAGATAAATAAACATTGGTGGGTTTTTTTTTTAATGTAAATATATGATTTATTACTTTGATAACCGTCTGCTTTACTCCTTCTCTTCCTTTGTGCATCTTAGACTGATACAACAGAAGTTCCCACTGCAACAGTATGTAGCTGAGCAAGTCACCTAGCTACCATGAATATGTTTAGGCAAACTTCTAGGCAAAGTTATAAATAAGCCTTGGATACAACTATTCTCATTTTTGTTCTTCAGCATGTCTCTTTGTTCTCTAAGGATGGAATGAGAATCTAGTGCCAGCAGAAAGACAAACTGATCTATGATGGGAGCTGACGTGCTCCAAAATACTATTTTGGCCTTTAGGGTAGACAAAAGGGGAAAACAAGCACTTGGAGCTGATAGGGGAAGGGGCTCTCTTCGTTTTTATGCACTCCTTTTTGAAATCCCTTCCCAAACCCTCTTCCAGACTTCCTTGGAAATAAGCCTCTAGGCAAAATTCAATACGTCATGATTATTTTGTTCTCAGGTATATACTTCAGAAACTTATATTTCAAGTATCACAAAGCTACAGGGAGTTTTGAACAACGCTCTCCTTCACTTTTCTCTGCATCCAGATGCAATGTGGATATAAGACTGCAAATATCACTGAATAGGTGTCTTAAAACAGAGTCACGAGAAGGGTTTTCTTCTCCATCCACCATCCTGGGCATGTAGAACCTTTTGCTGCTGCTTTCATACATCCATCAGCTCCACTGATGCTCCCTCTCTGCTGTTCTGACTGCAGCACCCTTTCAGAATCTGAATTCTGTGTTGGTTAGAAAACTGTAACAGATCTCCAGCATAGAGGCATTTGCAAACAACTACCACATCTCTTCCAGCTGGCAATTAATAGCAAAGGACTCTAAAAAACTATAAAATGAAACAAGTGCAATAATCTTCCATACAATCTCCAGCAGAACTCAAAGTGCTCATTAGCTAATACTTACGGAGGCATCACTCCTTTCGGGAGGCCTAACGCGTTGACAGAAACGGGTGGTGGCTGGGATGGCAGCATGGAGCTGAGAAAAGCTGCTGGAGACTGGCCAGAATTAGGAAATCTAGGAGTTGGAGACAGGCTGTGGGAAGGTGAAGAAAGGGAAGGAAGAGGAGGAGGTGGAGGGGGTGGAAGTGGAAAGGAATCACACACTGGATACGTTGGGGTTGGACTAAAGACAGGTGGAGGTGGGGGGGGGAGGAGACGGAGAAGAAGGAGACCATCCATACTCCCCTTCTGGAGCAAACTGCTGAGAGAAAGGGGGAACAGGCACTCTCCCAAACTGTTTTTGAGAAGCAGTCGGAGACATAGGAGAAGGAAGGCTGGATGTAGATGATCCTGAAGAAGGAGTCACGTAACCTGAAGCAGGGCTGATGTTCTGAGCAGCAATGAATTGCTTAGGCCGAGCGTAGTTAAAGGAGCTGGAAGACTGCATGCTTGGGGAAGTATGAGAGTTGAGAATACTCATTGGCACAGGAGAAACCACAGACTGGCTGGACTCAAGTTCTTGGAAGGAGGGGGGAGGAGGAAAGGAAGGAGATGAGGGAGTGTGCTGACGATGTTCAGGTTGCTGCTGGTGACGATACCACTGGCCACTTTCTTGCTCCAGACGAATTTGGTTCTGCAGCTGCTGTATTTTTATTGGGTCCCTGTAGGAAGGAAAAATAGACAAAAAGATGATCAGATGTGCAGTGTTTGCCTGGAAGAGGTAAAAACTCCGCTGAGTTACTGGTGTAGGAGAATCAGAAGGCAGGGAAAGTTCAAAGTATTTACATACATTGAATAGTCCTACTTTTCAGAGCTAGACATTGTTACAAAAGTGTATCCAGAGCAGAAGTCAACAGAACCTTCAGTTCTCAAAAAAGGTATGCTGTAAGGCGATCTGAAGACATTTAGCATATTTACAAGAGCAACCAAATACTGTAAGTAATAATTAAAATGTTGATGTTCTTAAGAAGGTTTTATTTCATTCCACTTTTCTACTTCATTCTGTAGCCTGACTCCCATTATATGCCTCAGATATTTACACACTGGTAGCTTCAGCCTTAATTTCTGCAGTAGACCATGTGTGCAGATCAAACAAGCCTACTTAAGGCTGTATTTTTAATGAGTTACTTGGAGACAAGGGACCAGCTTCTAATGTTAGTACCATATGTGTATCTATAGATGAGCAAAGGAGACTTCCAGGAAATACTTCTAACTTAAGGAGATAGTAAACAGTTTCCTCATGTAGTTAGTCCCACTTTTTTTTTCCTAAGACTTATTCTAACTAACTGTAAATTCTGAGGGGTATCTTAGTAGGTGCTGAATACAGCTCTAAGGAATTACCAATAGCAGTACGAATCAGCTCAAAGGAAAATGAGTTCTTCCTTGAAAAAAAAGAAAGTGGACATTCACTAAAAAAGCAATTGACAAAACAACTGACTAAAAACATAGAGAAACACTCACAATTGTTGATTAAGTAAAACAAGCAAACAAAAGCCCCCAGCACGTTCAGGAGCAAAGAAACCACAGCATGCATTGGTTCTCCAATACTGTTGTTGCAACAACATTGTGACTTTCCTATTAATTGCTCCTTTCTAAACTAAGAGGGCAGAACATTAAAGAGACTGTAGCAGCCCATTTTAACTACTCTTCTGCTGTAGTAATAAGAGTGCAATGGAAGTGAGGTCCGTATCAAAGTGGAAATCAAGCTTAAGTGCACGGTCTCTCATCTTAAAATTAAGCAGACTGATTTGCTTTAAAATTATCATGTTCCAGTTGGAAATCGTAATTTTACCTCAGCACTCCAGACGCCAACAAAGCTTTAGCATAAGAACATATACCTTTCCTGTATATTAGATATATAAATCCTTCCTTATATACAAGTGTGTCACTGTTTATATATAATTTAGGTCATTTAGGCAGAAATCTTAGAAGCTGTCTGCTTAATGCATGGCATATGAATGCGTGATTCTGGCACAACAGTATACTTTTGTTGGTAGCAACAAAACTAGAAATGGTACCGTCATCATATTTTCCATTCTAAGATTAATTTTGATATTCCAGCCGTTCATATTTCCCAGAAAATGTTTGCTGACAATAATCCTGCTGATGATCTCAGGCCAAAGGACATTGCTTAGATAAAACAGGGGAGCGAGACAGTTTAGGACAGAAAACTCAAAAACCGGCTCTTTACTTTTAGCTGTTGCTTCTTTCCTTTTTAGTAATAAGGACGGTTCATTCTGGCTGCTTAAGTTATCTCACTCACAAAACATACTTCAGTACTTAGAAAAAATTACATTATTAAAAAGTCGCAGTTCACTTGCAGATTTTGTACACTTTTTTTAACGCACAGCGACCCCAAATTCCTATGTGTTCAACTTTTCACTTCAAAAGGCACAGGCTGAACTTCGGTTTTCAGTTTTCACTGAACTATGTAAGACCCTACAAGAGCTGAAGCAACACAATGTCTTGTCTTTTAGGTCGCATACTCATTCAGCTGTCTAGGCTGATGACAGAAATACCTGAAGTCATTTCCAATTGAGGACAATCCTGTAAAACTTTAAGCTCACTCTGTTCCTTTAGTCTGTTAGCAGATGTACTGTATAATGATACGACAGTTATTTCAAAATACCTACTTTCTCTTCTATCGTAATCACACACACCGTAAGATCTTTTGATGTATAATAGGTTTAAACTTAAAACTTTTGATTCACTAAAGGTTTAAAACAAAAATTTGGGAAATTTAGTACTGTAAATGCTGAATTTCATCTGTTTCTATCACTTCTGTTTTCCTAACGTACACTAAAAGCAAGTTAGAGCTTCTTGTCTTGGGACTTTTTGTTTTCACTGCCAAGTCACTTGGCCACCCGCCCAGCCAGCAGCCCAACACAAATGACCATCTATGGCCCTGCCAATGGTAAGCACACTACTCCAAGTGTCTGCCACTAAGCTGCTGCTGCACCAATCTGGGCAGCGGTAAATAGCAGATTCAGAGCATGACTACAAAAGGTCGGCAGACAAACACGAGGTTCTCCTGCTTTCACACAAAGCTTAACTTCAGGGTTTACTAGCCCAGGACAGCCCTAATTCCATCTACAAAGCTTTTTATCTGGTCCAGAAAAAGCAGGCTCACGTCTGCTTGAAAAATAACATGCGGGCATCATTATCACATCAATTCACAGGGTAAAAATATAGAAATCTTAGAACAGATTCCCATTCCAGTGATAGAAACACATGATCCTCGTTTGCACAAGATCGTTCTCCATCTCAGAAGCTCTTCTTTTAACAGCAGAAACTGCCCTATACATACTGATTTCTTGAGCAATGTGCCACTGTGAAGAAAGAAAAAAAAAGAAGTATAATAGTCACCAGTGTTACTTTGTAATAACACTGACAGGCGGAAGTTCTGACACAGGTAGGTCATCAACGACATGGCTCCTGCATCACAGATACAGAGAGGCAAAGGAGTCATAAAGATGCAATGCAATCAGTCTGTACTGCTGCCCTCATTCATACTGAACCGAAGACAACTAAAAATGAATGAGTTCAATTGTAATTACATCCCCCTTCCAATTATCTGAAATATGTTTTGTAGTCCAAGTGTTTTAAATGAAACACTTGCTTTCAGGGAACACATCAATCCTGTTTAAACAACTTAAGGGAAAAAAATTACTTTCTCATGAAGACTTCAATATTACTGAATAATAACAACAAAAGAATGAACTGTCAAAACTAAATTTTTGGTAAAAAAGGAGAAATTAATTAAAAAGTCATACTAAAGATGCAGCAAATACAGAGGATACCAAGAAATTTCAGAAGGCTCTGAAAACCACACCTAAGTAGTCCATGAACATTCTTAAAAAGGCTGCTTTCATATTTGTCAACATGACCTTCAATACCAAGTACTCCAACACTAGGCCACTTTCCATCATCTATCAGCGTTCCTGGTCAACCTGGGAGGTCCCAGAAGAGTGGAGACTTGCCAACGTGACACCCATCTACAAGAAGGGTGGTGAGGAGGATCCAGGGAACTACAGGCCTGTCAGCCTGACCTTGGTGCCAGGGAAGGTTATGGAGCAGATTGCCTTGAGAGAGAACATGTGGCATGTGTGGGACAACTGGGGGATCAGGTCCAGCCAGAACAGCTTCACGAAGGAAAGGTCCTGATTGACCAACCTGATCTTCTATGATTGAATGACCTGCCTGGTGGATGAGGGGAAGGCTGTTGATGTGGTCTACGTATGTTTCAGCAAAGCTTTTGACGCTGTCTCCAAAAGCATTCTCCTGCAGAAGCTGGCAGCCCGTGCCTTGGACAGGTGCACTCTCGGCTGGGTAAAGACCTGGCTGGACGGCCGGGCCCAGACAGTGGTGGTGAATGGACTGACGAGCGGTGCTCCCCACGGGTCGGTGCTGGGGCCTGTTCTGTCAATATCACTATTGATAACCTGGATGAGGGCACTGAGTGCACCCTCATAAGTCTGCAGCTGGGGGTGAGCCCCTTCTCTCATGTAACTGGTGACAGCAGTAGAGGAAATAGACTCAAGCTGCACCAGGGGAGATTCAGGCTGGGTGAGAGGAAATACTACGTTTCTGAAAGAGCGGTCAGGTGCTGGCATGGGCTGCCCAGGGAGGTGGTGGAGTCACTGACCCTGGAGGTGTGCAAGGAACGTTTGGACGCTGTGCTGAAGGACGCTGTTTAGTGGGAACTATTGGTGATAGGTGGACAATTGGGCTGGGTGATCTTCTAGGCCTTTTCCAACCTTGGTGATTCTATGATTCTATTCTCACAGAAGATGTTTAGTTTTCAGATGCTCTAATAGACATGATAAATTAAAAAGAAAAAAAAAAACAACAAAAATCCCCAACAGTAAAACAGTGATATTTTAGCTGAAGCAGGTATTAGTTGCAACAGAGAAAAAAAATAGATTTTATCCAGTTATTATTTTCAGTCTGAACATCTACAAATTTACTGTTCACAACACTTAATTTTTTCTTATAAGCTACTAGGCTGGGAAGGCACAGCCTTTTCACCTTCAGTTACGAGTTTGTCTCAGTTTTGCACTTACTACACACTTCTAACTGTGCAAAGAAACTGGAGATTGAGAAAGGAGAGAGGAAAAACTCAGTTCGTTCAGCAGTTAAGAATGAGGATTTATGCTTGCATCACTAGCACAAGAAGTTGGGATAGTAAATGGAAGTTACTCCTGGAGAAGTGTTTGTCTACACATAAGTCTTATTTTAATAATTCAAGTTATTGAAGATCTATAATAATAATTATTATTTCTATACTTCTCAGGAATTTCAGACTTGTCAGTGCCTGCTTGTTGCAGCTTGCCTGGTT